CAGCACTTCCGCCAGCGGCCGGCTGAACTACAAGTCCCGGCAGGCCCCGCGCGAGGCCCGCCCGCTCCCACCTCCGCCCGAAAAGAATCCCAGAACTCTCCGCGAGATGCCTGGGCCTCGAAATAGAACAAAACCGGCCGATGGGGGAGGGGAAGTCGGGGTCGCGAAGGACACAAGGGATGGAGGACTCTTCGAGGGTGCTGAAAGCCCGATCTGGCTTTCTGTCTTCCCTTGCCAGTCCCACAACTGCCGGGCACGGAGACCGCGGCCTGTCCCTCGCGTCTCTGGAAGAAGCCGAGGAAGGTTCCCGCCAGGCTTCTTCGCTGACTCTTGCCAAGCAGTCTGCAGCCCCCAGGCCAGCGTCCCCCTCACACCCTTCCCCCCACTCGCACAAACCTCGGGCTCGGGAACCACAGCCGCTTCGCTGTCCTCGGCCGACGCAGAAACGCCGCTCAGAAGCCGTTTCCCAGCAGCCCCCGGCGCGGACTGCTTCCGGTCTGTGGGCCCCAGGAGGCGGGGGGAGGCGAAGCCCCACGTTGCCATGGAGATGTTCTCCGGGCCGGGGGAAGGGCTGTCCAACGACAATAACTGCTTTGAGGCTGCGCTTGGCCTCGCGCCTTCCTCCCCCGGTATCCCAGCCTTCTGGGTTCCGCTTGAAAGACAAGGAAAAGAAAGAATTCTGCCACTAAGACAGTCTTTACGGTTTCATAAGCCTTTTCACATTAGTTATCTCATGTGATCTTCACAGTAGTTCTCTGAAAGAAGGATTATGAATATTTATGAATGTTAATTACTTTGTACCAGGCACTGTCACCGTGCTTTACATGAAATTTCATTTTCACAACAACGCTGAGATAGTAAGATCTTTTGTTATTCCCATTTTACAGCTGAGATCATTGAGGCACAAGTAAATAGCTTGCCGAGTGCTCATAACTGGTAAGTGGGAAGCAAGATTTGAAACCAAGGCATGACTGTCACCTTTGCCTCCTACTTGCTATGCCATACAGCTTTATTATGACCAGTTTACTTGTCAGGGAAACAAGATGAGACTCTTAACCAAGAGCTTTGGCAGTGAGCTCACATTGAATTTGCAGAATGCGTGGTCAATTTCTGACTTGAGGCTTGACAGTTTCTATTACAAAGCAGCTGCCAAAGTGATCGTTTAAAAACAGAAATCAGACAGCTTCATTCCCCTGTTTAAAGACATTAATGGATCCCTGACTGCCTTACTCCTGCCTGTGCTCGGTTGCGCAGTTGTGTCCTACTCTTTGCCGCCCTATGGACTGTATCCGGCCAAGCTGCTCTGTCCTTGGGATTTTTCAGGTAAGAATACTGGAGTGGGCTGCCATTTCCTCCTCCAGAAGAATCTTCCCCTACTGCATTAATTATGACTTAAAAATTCCTTACATTTTCCTGTAAGGCCCCACTAGTCTGTTCCCTGCCCCCCCACTCTCCAACTCTGTAGGCTCCTTGTGGTCTGGATCCTCAGCCTTCCTCACCACCTTTCCTCCTGGAAGCCTCCCCACTCTCATAGCGCTGCCTAGAAGTAATCTCATTTATTCACTTCTCTATTTTTTCGTTTGTTTGGCTTTTGTCCATAAGACCCATAGAGGCAGAGACTGTGCCTGTCTTATTCACCACAGTATCTCCACACAGTAATCCCAGGATACGGACTGCCTGGTACACGGGTTGTTGGTCAGTTGCCAAGTCGGGTCTGACTGTGACCCCATGAACTGCAGCACGCCCTCTGTCCTTCACTCTCTCCCGGAGTTTGCACAAATTCCTGCCCATTGAGTCGGTGACCATCCAACCATCTCATCCTCTGCCACCCCCTTCTCCTTTTGCCTTCAATCTTTCCCAACATCATGGTCTTTTCCACTGAGTTGGCTCTTCGAATCAGGTGGCCAAAGTATTGGAGTTTCAGCTTAGCGTCAGTCCTTCCAAAGGATATTCAGAGTTGATTTCCTTTAGGATTGACTAGAGAACTCGGTAAATATTTGTTGAATAAATGAATAAAGTGTGGGCTGCTCAGATTGCTGCTTTTGCTAGGTCACATGGCAGGCCTCAGAAACCACAAAGAAAGAGCCCTGTTGTTTAAGGTCTGTGTTAGAAGTGCAGGTCCAGCCTTTCAGAAGCATTCCAAGATCCTCAGGCTTCAGCTTTCTGCCTCTTTGGGAAAGTTCCCTTTGCAAAGAGCCCTCAGTCTGCTGGACTGGTGAATGAGAAAGCTCAAAAGTTAGCAGCTGATGGTATAGCACTCCGCTACTCTCTGACTGGAGCTTTGCCCCCCAAAACCCCTGCTACTTCTGATGACTCATCTCTCTTCATTTAGGAAGTTTCTGAAATCTTTACTTTTTTCTTTCCTACTTGGCTGCTCTTCCCAACTGATCTCTCTTTGGTGACTCTAAAAGCTAGCTAATGTTATTTTTCAGAGACAAACGAAAATTTAATCTTTCAAGGTTCATGCTGTGTGCTTTAGCAGAATTGGATGGAGGATCTTGTATATACATTTATAATAGATAAAAAATAAACCAGAATGAAAATCCTTTTTCTTTCTTTTTAAAAGCAAGCCATGTACCAAGTTTTTTGGTCCAAATTGTGTAGGATAAGTTAAATTGCATTCTGTTAACCAATATGAGTGTGTTTCTGTAAGTATGCCTGCATATGTGCTAAGTCGCTTCAGTCTTATCCAACTTTTTGTGACCCTGTGGACCACAGCCCACCAGGCTCCTCTGCCCATGAAATTTTCCAGGCGAGAATCCTGGAGTGGGTTGCCATGCCCTCCTCAGGGGATCTTCCCGATCCAGGATTGAACCTGTATCTCTTATGTCACCTGCACTGGCAGGTGGGTTTTCTGTAAGTATAGCTATGTCGAAATAAAGTTTTATAAAGCAAATAAATAAAAGGTAGCTCAAGGCATTTTTGTTTTATTTTGTCTTGCTTTAAGTGTTTTTACATCTAATTAATGCTGGAAAACTAAAAACATACACATCAAACAGAAGTACTTGGGCAGATTAAAAATGTTAAAATTTAATAAAACCCTTTGCCTGGGATTCATTCTATCATTCCTAATTCTTTCTGAGAGAGTAAATAAAATCACAATGAATTTTTCTTCTCTACTCTTTTGAGAGCAGGGACTATAAACCTCGGTTTTGAAACCCCATCCTCTGAGTCCCAGGTTCGATTCCTCAGTCAGGAAGATCCCCTGGAGAAGGAAATGGCTACGTACTCCAGTATTCTTGCCTGGAGAATTCCACTGGGAGAGGAGCCTAGTCTGCTACAGTCCATGGGGTCACAAAGTGTCAGACATGACTGATTGACTAATACTTCCACTTTCAATGGAAACAGTGACATACTTTATTTTCTTGGGCTCTAAAATCACTGCAGATGGCAACTACAGCCATGAAATTAAAAGATGCTTGCTCCTTAGAAGAAAAGCTTTGACCAACCTAGACAGCATGTTAAAAAGCAGAGACATTCCTTTGCTGACAAAGGTCCGTCTAGTTAAAGCTATAGTTTTTCCATAGTCATGTATGAATGTGAAAGTTGGACCATAAAGAAAGCTGAGCATCGAAGAATTGATGCTTTTGAACTGTGGTGTTAGAGAAGACTCTTGAGAGTCCCCTGGACTGTAAGGAGGTCAAACCAGTCAATCCTAAAGGAAATCAGGCCTGAGTATTCATTGGAAGGACTGATGCTGAAGCTGAAACTCCAATACTTTGGCCACCTGATATGAAGAACTGACTCACTGGAAAAGACTTTGATGCTAGGAAAAATTGAAGACAGGAGGAGAAGGGGATGACAGAGGATGAGGTGGTTGGATGGCATCACTGACTCAATAGACATGAATTTGAGCAAGCTCTGGGAGTTGGTGATGGACAGGGAGGCCTGGTGTGCTGCAGTCCATGGGGTCACAAAGAGTCAGACACGACTGAGCAACTGAACTGAACTGAGTAACAACAACACTGTGCTCAGCCAAAGGTAATAAGTTGTGATTGAGCTAAGCCATTCATGACTTATCTGTTTCCCTTTGCCATGAACTCACTCTGCCTAGCTAGAGATGGTCATATGATTCAGTTCATGGTCAATGAGATATAAGGGAAAGTAGTCTCATTTATATCTCAATGAGATGAAAGTGTCTTTAAAGGAATTTATCTAACTCATATAAGCTGTCAGATGTCTTAGCATAAAGTTGTTCATAATATTCCCTTAATACACTGTCTATAGGATCAGTAGTGATGTCCTCTTTTTCATTCCTGACATTGGTAGTCTTGTTTATTTTTCTGTATATGTGTTGCTTGAAGTTTATCAATTTTATTAATCTTTCAAGGAAACAACTTTTTGCTTTGTTTATTTGCTCTATTGTTTTTTATTTCATGGGGTTCTTCTCTTTAAAAAAAAAGAAAAGACAAAAAAAAAAGAGCTCCGCTTAGAACAGAGAGCTAGAAGAGTTAAAACACATATAAATTATGAAACCATCACCAAAATAATAATATAGGATAGTTCTATCATTCCACAAATGTCTCTCAAGATGTACTTACAAATGTTCTACTCCATAACCCATGACAACCACTGGTTTGCATGTATGAATGCTAAGTTGACTCAGTCATGTCTGACTCTTTGTGACCCTATGGACTGTAACCCACCAGGCTCCTCTTTCCATAGGGTTCTCCAGGCAAGAATACTGGAGTGGGTTGCCATGCCCTCCTCCAGAACCACTGGTTTATCATCCATCAAAATAGTTTTGACTTTTACACAGTGTAATATAAATGGAATCATAAAGTTAACCTTTTACATAACTTTCATTAAGTATAATAACTTTGAGATTCATCTATGTTATTGTTACATGTCTCAGTTGTTCATTTCATTTTATTGCTGCATATTGCTAAGTAGGATTTTACTGTAGGTATCGTTTGTTTATCCAGTTAGCATTGAAGGACTTTTGGGTTAATTCCAGATTTGGGCAATTTTAAATAGAGTTTCCCTGGTAGCTCAGATGGTAAAGNATTGTGTCTCTGTTATGTTAAAACAATCTCTTGGGTTGAATGAAAATTTGATCAAATTCACACACACATTGACCTATCTGGTCTTTCACTTTGAAGGTATTGTAATTGATATATGATATAGTTGATGTTTATATGATGAAAAGCTAGACTCAAATATCCTATCTGATAATCTAACAATCTCACTTTTTAATAAGGCATGTGTAATTGAGTAGGCTGAAAATTATTGAAAAGATAGTTTCCAAGTATTTCTTTCCAAAGGATGAACTAAACAGATGCTCATGCTGCTGTGGGCTGAACTGCCTCTCCCCCTGACAAATCCATATGTTGAAGCTCTAAGTCCTAATGTTTCGGTAGCTGAAAATGGGGCTTTTGGGTGGTAATTAGGTTTAAATGAGGTTATGAGGGTGAGACCCTCATGACGGGATTAGTGTCCTTAAAAGAAGTTACACCAAACAGCTTCCTCTCTTTCTCTACCATGTGAGGACAAAGCAAGGAGGCCATTTACAAAACATGAAGAGAGCCCTCATCAGGACCTGAATTGGTTGGTGCCTTGATGTTGGATTTCCATCCTCAAGAACTGTGAGAAATTCCTGTTGTTTAAGCCACACAGTCTATATTGTATGTTGTTATGGCAGTTTGGGCTGAGTAACACAGTGTCCTTACAAACAGTCTCAGCTACTTACTGATCCTCTGTCTCCATATCATCCCTTAAATTGCTCTTGGCTTTTCTTTACATGGCTAGCAGTCAAGGAGAGCATGAACTCATGATTATTGAATGCTTAGACAGCAACTCTTAGATGCTCTACATAACTTAATCTTGGTAAGAATATGTGACACAATGATCTATGGGAAGTATTTCAGAACAATTTATTGGAAGATGGGATAGAAAATGTACACATTTTATAATTCACAATTAGGAGTCTTCTAAAGAGTATACATATATAACTAATTTATATCTGGTAACCACAGGGAACAATGGAAATAAAACACTCCTTGATAGCTTTTCTCAGGGATAATCAATAATTTATTTCTCTTTTATTGTCACAATTACCACAACTATCTAACTACATAAACAGTGTCACTACATACCACAGGAAGATTGTCCACCTACACTTTACTGAGACAAAGATAATGACCATTTATGTGTTAAATGTACAACAGGATGTTAAAAAGAGGTGATTTTTATGTGTAAAACAAGATGTGGCACATGACTTATCATCAGGTTTGATTTCATATGTATTAGGTCAAGAAGCAAGCATAGAAATGTTTTGGCATTGAGTTGTTATTAAAGTTGAAAATAAGTAAACTAGAGAAGTAAATTCAGATCTATAGTAGGTACATTAAAATAGGAAATTAATTGGCTCCTCAGTATTTTTGTGCAAGTTTTTTGTTTTCTTTCCTTTTGCTTGTTTTTATATATAAATGAGTAATATGAATATATCACAAGTCAAAGAAAAAATCTCAGCCAAAAAGAAGTACTGATATATGAAAAACAAATGAAAAAGTAGCAGGTATTTTTGCTTACAAAAAATTTAAACTATAAAGAGTCACAAAATATATATAAAAATGCCACATTGAACGAGGCAAGCATCCTCTACCCAAACTGGTAGCACCCTCTGAAAATCAGCTGCATTCCATCCATTGGGTCATACCGTGGTGACAGACAAAAAGGCATTAGGAACTTGTGTACCATCAGGGGACTTGGCCCCATGGGTCATCAGTTCTTGGATTGTCATCCAGTTGTCCAAAATTTTCTTGTTTCTCTTCTTCATCATCTTTTTGTGACTCAGTTCAATGATGTTGACCTCCTTCTTGCCCTCACTGCCGCTCTGGGGACTCTCCTTGAGACACTCCAGCCGGCTCCGCATCATGAACTCTCGGCGACGCCGCTGCTCCTTGGCCCGTACCAAGTGTTGCTTCCTCTCCTCTTTGCTCCAGTAGCGCCCCATCTTCATCTCGCTCATGGTGTCATCGTCCGTGGTCATGCCACTCCGTTCCTCCTTGATCTTTAAGGCACGCTCCTTTAGAATGCGGTCCCGCACGGGTCTCTTGGTGATGTACCGCGTCCCATCGCTCCTGATTTTCACCTTCCATTCCATCTTGGGTTCTGAGCACTTCTGAGACTCCTTGCACACGCTCACCAAGCTGAGCTGACTCTGAGCATACTCGACTGCGGACTTCTGTTGAATTAACTGCATGTAGCTTTGATAATGCCTGGCGTGTGCTGGGATGTTTGCACATCTATAGGAGGAGCTGTGGTAAGGGGAGAGATAAGGGACGTGTTCACTGCTGGTTTTCTCTGGATCAGAAAGCTTGCTGCTTTCTGAAGTCTTCTCTTTGCCTTCAATGACACAGCCTTGTTCAGAGGTTTTGGCTTTGGTGCAGGTTGACTCTTTAGTGCTCTGTCCGGAAGAGGACTGGTTGGCTGCCATTGTGCTTCTCAGGTTTTTCTTATTGGTGAGGCTGATCACTCTTGGAAGGGAACTGTCAGGGGAATGGTCCACAGTGAGTGGAGTGCTTCTGCAACTTTCAGCTGTGTTGTAAGCACTGGAACTGTCTTTGTCTGACTTTTCTGGGTGTTCAAGGATGTCATCTAGTTTTCCCCTCTGGGTGTCTATGCTGGTGTTATAACTTCGGAATCCTCCATCATGCAATGCCCAGATATCTCCATACTGGTCTGTCACTTTCTGGAGCCTGTGAGCCTGCATGATAGTTTGGCACTCAAGTTCAATGTTTCTCAGTTCTTCATTAAGCAACTGTAGTTCGTGCTCCATTCCCTCTCGTCCTCCCTGATTACATTCTATTGTGCTGCTTGAGTAATACAGGTCATACTCCCCGTGCTTCCTTATCTTGCATTTGAGCTCCAAGAGCTGCCGAAATCTTTCACACTCCTCATCTTGGTTGCCAATACAGTCTGAGTCAATGTATTCGCCAGACACAAAACTCTCATTGCACTGAAGTTCAACGCTTCCCAGAGTGTCTTGGCTCTGCCCCAGCTCTCTTTTGCTTTTCAGAGATGTGCCATTGGGATCCTCGGTTGCATTCTCCTGCTCTGAGCTCTCGTCATTCCGCAAGCTTTCATCTGTGCGCCCCACTCCACTGTCCTTCTCATGGTTGTTGGATGAGGATGTTGCCGTATCTGTTGTGCCTTCTTCTTCTTCTTGTTTTTTTGGCTAGGAAAATAAAGTTAAGAGAAGAAAGAAAGTTAATTGTTTTGAAAATCAGTCATTGAAAACTTGTTTGAAAAAACAATGCTTTTTTGGCAAAAGTTCAGCTCCTAGAAAGCTATACTAATTTTAGTATCCATAACAGTTTTACAAATAAAGGCAATTGGCTGATGGCAGTGTTTTTGTGTTTTTTTTTTCTTTTTTGGCTCTAAAATAAAGAAAACAAAAGCTGCTTGAATATGGCTATGCTACTCACTTGAAGATAAATAAAACAGAACACATTAAAATAATTAAATTAAAATTCAATGAGTGATTTAAAATAAGTGATTCTTGTCTTAGGCTCTCTTTTAGTTGAGAAACTGGAGTGAAGTTGTATAAATGAGGTGACTTTATGAGTTTCTGAGGTGATAACATACAAAAGGAGGAGTAAGACAGAATCCCAAAAGTCTTCAGCAATGAAGGTCTGGAGTTCAGAATCCACATCACTTGTTACTGTTTCTTTTTTTCATGAACTTTTCTCAAGTTCAAAAGAAACTTCATTGGATCTAGTAATACACTCATGATAATAAATGGAATATCACAAAATTTCAGGAATAAGTACAGGAGCCCAAGACCTTTTGTCCATAGATTAGGAAACAGTCCCAGATCGATGTAACTTCTTAGGCAGGAAGTCTAGGAGGCCAGTGCCATCCTCCATAGACAGGATTTCTTTACATCCAAGGTGCTATATTCTTGCATACATGTACTTTGACTTCAAGGCATCTCCCTATCATGTTGCTCAAAAGCAACAGTAATGTCTTAGGACTCATTGGGTTACTTTAAAAGATTTTTCTACTCTTAGCCAGTGATATCCTTCAGAAGTGAGTTTTATATTACTGAGAGTAAAATGATGGCTCCCCTCAAATCTGAGCAGCACTGATTTCCAGACAAGGGCATAATGTCAAACAACAGATATGTATGTAAATATATATGTGAACTTCACTCCCTGGTAATTTTTGGCTTTTCATGCAGAACAATCAACTGTCACTGTCCTAGGGAGATGCATATCTAGTTGTTTCTCTGTGAATAGCGTAAAGTTACTCTTTATTCTATCACTTCTCTTATAAAAGCCTACAAATACAATTTCTAGATGCTTTCTCCTTGTGTCTAAGCTTACTCACTTTTATACATATATACATTTTTCCCTTTAGCAGGAATTATATAATTAGATATAATTAAGCCTGTTAGTGTCAAAGAAAGAAAGGATAGGTGATAAAAAGTAAAACAGGTTTGAAAGTGTCAGGTCATTGTTGTTTTTGTCCAATCAAGTAATGGCAAAAAAAATATAATGAACTGGAAGGAGAAAATGACCATGTATCATGTTAATTTTAGGATTCTCAATCTTTCCATAAAATATTTTTCTTCATTTGTTAAGAACATACTATGATTGATTTAAAATGTCTTATTGATAAAAGAAGAATGTTATACATAAGGCACTAGTGGTAAAGAACCCACTTGCCAGTGCAGGTAGATGTAAGAGATGTGGGTTCGATCCATGGGTCAGAAGTTTCCCTGGAGGAGGGCATGGCCATCCACTTCAGTATTCTTGTCTAGAGAATCCCACGGACAGAGGAGCCTGGCAGGCTTCAGTCCATAGGGTTGCACAGAGTAAGATACAGCTGAAGTGACTTAGTGATCTACATAAGTACATACATAAATACATACATTAGTTACATAAGTAATTATAACCAATAATGGAGAACTTGATACATCTCTATATTCCTTGCTATAAGGTGACAGTGACATCAAATGTGGTGTCACTTGCACACTGCGCCATAAAACCTCCAGGCAAAAATATTGGCGTATGTTGCCATTTCCTTCTCTAGTGAATCTTCCCAACCCAGGGATTGACCCTGGGTCTCCCACATTGCAGACAGACTCTTTACCATCTGAACCACCAGGGAATCCCTATAAAATCCCCAGAGGGTATTACTGATATTGGACAGTTTCATTTATATATCACAATACTTATATTTATATTTTCTCCTGTCTAAGAGTAAGCTGAAAAATACAAGATGGTGATATTTTTCTTACGGAGTATAAATGATAGACAAATTTGTTGACAAAATGTGTGCCAACAGCAGTCACAGGACCAAGGAGAGCATGTAAGGTGAAAGTTTCAGATGGATGTATATTTTAGCTTTTATATATGGATATGCAATTTTTAATCACATTTCTCTTTCTTTTGTTACTGATTTACAAGCACATGTGAAAATAAAAAGAGTTTTCTATTCTGAAAACTAAAATTCCTGGTTTCTGATATAATGCTACTCGATAATTTATCATTTCCCTATGGAATCATCATAGTGACAGGCAATGTTTCTACCAAGACATTTCTAATGTAGTATTATTGTTTATAAGGGCAAAGGACTTTTAAAGGTTTCTGTATTTCTCATCATTTTTCAGTCTCATGGTGAAGAAAAATTTCTACACAGTAAAAAAATCTAACCTCAGGGACATCTTGTGTTACCTCAAAAGACTTAGCATTTGTATTACGTCTGATGAGTAGGCAGCATCTGACACCATATCACTTCACCTGGACAGGATTTCTCCCTTCTTTCTTTATTCCAACATCCTCCTGTCAATTCTGTATCAGGTCACATTTTGTATCTAAGAGAGAAAAAGCCTGGAGCAAGGACTTTCTTGCTCATAACCAGCAGCTGCCACCAAAAAAATATCTTTATTTGTGGCCAGTGTTGAAGTCACACAGAAAAATTTCAATCTGCCCTCCTTATATTGAAAAGCAATCACTACAGTAGCAGCATTGCTTTTGAGTATGAACTACTGTTTGTGAACTGGCCACTGAGCACCCATAGTGAGAACACCTGGTTCTGTCAACTGTAGTTTGCAACCTAATTATTACTATATGCACTGATATTAGTGATTCTGCACACATGCGTGCATGCACACACACACACACACACCTCTGTTATGGGATGCCAGCATGTCACCGTATCTCATCCTTCAACTTGGTAAAGTGACAGGATGTTTTTGTTTTATGTTCTAAGCCTAACTGTCAGGACTTTTAAAAATAATTATCTTTTAGGGTTAGTTAACAATTAATGTTGAGAATAGGATGATAATCAAACAATCAGAAAATTGAGAGCAGAGTGTTAATACAGTTATATCAGGGAAATGAATGACATGAATCTGACAAAAAATCTAGGCTATATTGATCTTAATTTTATCTAGTAAAAAATGATGACAACAAAAATGAAAAGATTCCTAAGGCTGTTTGCCACAAACCACACTTTGATCATTCACCAGTTATGAATTACTTAAAGGAAGGGATTTTGCTCATTTTGTTTGTATTCTTAGGATCAAACGTTGTACTTGAAGTATATCAGGGGCTCAGAATTTTTTGTTGAATGAATATGTGACCTTAAGACAAAATAATGTCAATAATCTTAAGTCTAACTACTCGTAATTCAGTGTAATCATGATACTAAATATCCGAATAAGATCAATGGCTTAATCATGTCATCATCAAGTAGATATTCAAGTATTCAAGTATCTACATTGATATTACAAAATTAAAAAAAAATACTTTTTAGGGAGGAGGGGTTACCTCATGAGATATAGTTTATCTCCAGCTGGTGTACTGAGAGGCAAAATATACTTTTACTATTAAATTTCTGAATTACATTGAACAGTACCTGAGTCAGCACCTGAATACTACTGTGCCCTCCATAATGGGCCCTAAGCTTCCTAAGCTAAAAATATTCTTAATAGAAAAAATTGTATTTATTTCCTCCTCTTCATCTGAGATGATCTTTTGCCTTCAGAAATTACCATCACAGAGATATTCACTAAAACTCTTTGATTTTTTAAAAAAATTTCATTTAAGATTATAAGCATGTCACCGTATCTCATCCTTCAACTTGGTAAAGTGACAGGATGTTTTTGTTTTATGTTCTAAGCCTAACTGTCAGGACTTTTAAAAATAATTATCTTTTAGGGTTAGTTAACAATTAATGTTGAGAATAGGATGATAATCAAACAATCAGAAAATTGAGAGCAGAGTGTTAATACAGTTATATCAGGGAAATGAATGACATGAATCTGACAAAAAATCTACGCTATATTGATCTTAATTTTATCTAGTAAAAAATGATGACAACAAAAATGAAAAGATTCCTAAGGCTGTTTGCCACAAACCACACTTTGATCATTCACCAGTTATGAATTACTTAAAGGAAGGGATTTTGCTCATTTTGTTTGTATTCTTAGGATCAAACGTTGTACTTGAAGTATATCAGGGGCTCAGAATTTTTTGTTGAATGAATATGTGACCTTAAGACAAAATAATGTCAATAATCTTAAGTCTAACTACTCGTAATTCAGTGTAATCATGATACTAAATATCCGAATAAGATCAATGGCTTAATCATGTCATCATCAAGTAGATATTCAAGTATTCAAGTATCTACATTGATATTACAAAATTAAAAAAAAATACTTTTTAGGGAGGAGGGGTTACCTCATGAGATATAGTTTATCTCCAGCTGGTGTACTGAGAGGCAAAATATACTTTTACTATTAAATTTCTGAATTACATTGAACAGTACCTGAGTCAGCACCTGAATACTACTGTGCCCTCCATAATGGGCCCTAAGCTTCCTAAGCTAAAAATATTCTTAATAGAAAAAATTGTATTTATTTCCTCCGCTTCATCTGAGATGATCTTTTGCCTTCAGAAATTACCATCACAGAGATATTCACTAAAACTCTTTGATTTTTTAAAAAAATTTCATTTAAGATTATACATTTAAGGAAGAATAGCATCCTTTCCAATGATGGAGTTCAGATAGCGGTCCTACCTGCTCCACCTCATCGGCAGGGCGCGGCATTGCTTCATTATGCTGTTCTTCCAACATCGCCAAGTTTAACTCCTCTAAGAATTCATTCCTTTCATCTTCCAGCCAGCCTTCATCCACCTACATAAGAATACATTAGTACATTATATTCTGTTAGTGAGGACTCATACTAAAATAGGGTAAACTTAAATGGTGACGCCTGACTAGTTCCTTTTATCATAACGATTCTCTTCAAAATACCAGCCTCCTATAGTTCACCTCTCAGAAGGAAGAAAAGGTGGTTAAAAAAAAAATTGGGCTCATATGCTTTTTATCTTTTCCTAAAACAGAACTACAGATTTTCTCTCATAACTGAGTAGATCTCACAGCACAGAACATTACCGTCTTTCAAAATGTATGAAAAGCATGCTGCATAATCCACAGCTGTCATGCTCATTACCTCCGACAGTCCCCGTGCTAAAGAACTGCAGTGATAACTAACAGGGCTATGAGACAATAGGGCCTTTTTCCTTAACAACAACCCCAAAGCAACTCCATACCAAATGCACCTCTCAATACACACACACACACACACACACACACATCCTCTTGCTACCCTCACTCTGTTTTTGATTTTGAGGTGGATGACTTTCAAGTTAACAAGATGACTCCTTGCCACAAATACACACATTCACTTTATCTGAAAAAAAGGAAAATTCCAAGGTATTTTCAAAAGCAAAGTGATTCTATGGTATAACTATTGTGATTCATTTCTCAGACCCAATTCCAAGGAAAAAGACCTTAAATGTTGCATATAAGGGTGAGGGAGCTGTGTGAAGCATGCAGGGTTTTGTCTGTGGGTGCTGAAGGCAGATATTCTTGTGGGGGTCTTACACAAACTAAACCAAGCAAATCCTTTTGGCTTCTTAATACAAAGGGAAGTGGAAAACTCATGGTTATCTTGTTAATATGATAAGTGTTGACAGTCAATACAGATAATTTGCCTCAAAGTGGGTTTTTGGAGCTGGATTACATAAATTAGCTGTCTGTACTGATTGAATTAACTGGATAATTGTCAAAGCTCTTCTTTACTCTGTTACAGTGGAACAGCAGTTTTCTAGTGAGTCAAAATTAACAAGAGTGGGAGATGTTTTCACTACCAGACTAATGCTTAAGCACCAAACAAACACATAAAACAAGCTTGTCTTTAAGAGAGCTGAACTTCTAAAACTTAAACACAAATAAACCTGTGTGCATGCTCAGTTGTGTCCAACTCTTTGTGACCCCCACAGACTGTAGCCTGCCGGGCTTCTCTACCCATGGGATTTTCCAGGCAAGAATAATGGAGTGGGTTGCCATGCCCTCTTGCAAGAGACCTCCCTGACCCAGGGATCGAGCCCATGTCTCCTGCATTGGTAGGCGGATTTTTTAATTTATCACTGAGTCACCTGGGAATCCCTGAGAAAACATTAAATTGCATCAGAAGAGGCATTAGTGTATATGCATCATATTCATTAAAAGAAGGCAATCATAGGTTTCTTTTTTATTTACTAAAGGCTACCTAGACCTTAAATTATCTCAAACTTGACTGGGCCAAAAGCATCAATGCATTTATTCATCCTCATTTATTTCAACTTGTCCTGAATAACTTGACCAAGTTCCACCCCAGTGACTTTGATATGCAGATGAGCTATGAAAATTAAGCTGACTAAAAATTTAAATTCAGTCCAATTCATAATTGTTCAAGTTCATATTTTATAATCCCTTTTAAGTTTCATGAAGTTGCAAATGCCAGACTCCAAAAGAAATTACTTAAAGCTAGAACTGTTTATTTTTTATAAGCATACCAAGGAATGTTTCTTTAATCAGGTCAAAACAAAATATTTGCCAACATTGCTACAGTGAATGATAGAACAGAATCTTTTGAAATTGAAATGAAGGGGTGGGGAAGACAAAGAGACCAAATGATAGAAATTAACAGTTCCCTATAAGCCTTTTCTTGTTAGCTAACCCCACAGATCCCTGAGTTGCCATGGGTGGTAAGTGTCCGTCTGCTTTGATAAGGCATCCCTTTAGGCTGGAGGAGTACACAACACACTAAGTCAGGAGAGATTCTTCTGGCTCACCTCCCTTCCCTGTCACATTTCCCATAATGTGAGACTGACATAAATACGGCAGTCTGAGTCCAGTGCTCTGGCAGACTGACTTTTCCCTGGAGCTGAGCATAGTCATAATTATACAGGGGGATCTGTCCGCACACGTGGCATCTCAAAGAAAGGAACAAGCTGCACTATCTCAAAAGTTCTCTATATTTCTTACAAGAGCCTGTTCTCACCCAGTGTCCCAAGGGGAATAGGACAAAATAGCAATATCTTTAATGGTCTAAGGAAGAAAATGGGCAGAAAATGAAAGTAAGTTGACAGGGAATGAAAGAAATGAGTTATTTAAAAATATTGCATGGTTGCACAGTACTGCCCCCAGCAACTCTGTAGATCATTTCTGAGAGTATTTGAAACATTTTTTTTTAAGGGTAGAAAAACGATACATAAACTTCCATACTCTCTCTAAATAAAATATACATACAAAAATGCAATAATGAAATATATTGAAACTGATGGGAGAATATGGTGATGTAAATACAAGTTTTGTTTTGTGTTGCTTTTGCCACTTTATAGCATGTAATGCTTAAATTACATTTTAAAGTATGGTGTTACAATGCATTTTCTTTCCTTATTTTTCTAGAAATCTGGTTTTCTAAAGGCAATCAGCTTTATTATCATATCAGTGTCATTATCTTTAAGATCAGTGGCATTATCTTCAGGATCAAGGGGCTAAGGAAGATCCTACTTTTGTCAGACAGCATGGTATCCTTCAGAGTCAGATGACCATCTTTTATCAATTGTGGAAAGTATTGTTTGAAAATTCATTCTCCAACATTAACTCTTGGGTTAGGAATGTAGTAAGTTTAGTCAGTTATTCAAAACCACCACTGGTTCTACTGAGAATATTTAAGCTATCAAAGATTAACAGGATCTGGTCTTCTGCTATTAACTTCTCTTCTTTCATTATAGCTGTTACATGGCATAGTAAAGCAAATGCTTTAATTCTAAATTAATGAGGTTGTCTAGCAGTTTCATGGAAAAGGCAGGGAAACCACATGATAAAGTCAAAGTATCTTTTCTACAAAGGGTGACTATTGAGCTCTTTTCAATTTACCATTAATTTCACTAATATGTATTTAGCCTCTCTATTCTTTTTCGAGAAAATGGGATCATTGAGATTAACTGGTTTGCCAAATTTCCAAATAATTAGTGCAATTTCATACGTATTTTAATAACTCACTCTCACATAGGCAGCCCAGCCAGTTGCAGCCTGTCCAACCCCATTGCCAAGACCTCAGGTGTGCAGCTTCAGTCTGCCCCGGGCTATGGCAGGCTTTATGGGAACCATTTAGAATGGTCAAGGGCATAAAGGAAATATATGCGGAAAGGGTGATCTTTTATAACCACTATATTCGAGTCAGGATTCAGTCTGACACTGAAATACACTTACTCAATGTAATTTATAGATAGGATGTAGTTACTGAGTCTGAAAAATATCAGATCAATAACCTAAAAGACAAATGGTGATATAACCAACTTCACTCAAACTACTGACAGAAAGATAGAATGGTGACAATGTAAGGTCCTTTCTGCATTGTGGTGGGGGATAAAAGGACATAAAAAGAAGTACCGATAGTACTTTGCTTCCACCATTACCTCTCCTTTACTTTCATGACATCTCCCTCTGTAAAGATATAAAAAAATCCCTTAGAAGCTCTCAGTTTTTGGTTTGGGCCAGACAGACGTGTCTGTCATGCTAAACTTGGAAAAAATTCATCTACTATACATGGAACCACATCGTGCTACCTAAGATATTTCATTTGATAAAGGCACTCTAAAAAGATTTGAGTTGATAGCTAGATATGCTAATATTTCTCTCATTAGAGATTCTTTTAAGATACCTTAATATGCCAATTAAGTATTTTTAGATGGCAACCTAAAGCAGGGATGCACACAGAATTAAATATCATGTAAGGTCAATCATTTTTCATTTATGAGTTAATTTTAAATAACTGGCAAGTGGAAGGAGAGAGTAATTATTCAATTTCGTGTTTCTTTTAAAAAATAAGTTGTTTAGCTGCCTTTATGTGGAGCAATATCAAGGAGTCTTTACTTATAATTGTTTTGATATGGTTGGCAAATTGGAAATGACTGGGTTCTATTTTGTATGCCTGGTTTTACAAATAACTGTGGCACTGATCTGATGTGGAATAGCAGATGATGAACCTAAGGTTCAGTCCAAGGCTTTTGCTCTGTGTTCTGACCTGACTCTCTGGCCTTGCAACCAGCAGCAGGATTCTCCTGCACTCATCGCTAGACAGCTGGGCCACTGCCGCCTCGCGATCCTGGACGTCTTCCCCATTTATCTAGAAAACAAATGAAAGTGGCGCATTAGTTTCCATTTCCACAATGCTGCACACAATAAATGGCAAATATCAGCTCATTTATGGTAAATGTATGGACAATGAAGCTCACACAATGGGCTCGTCTTCAGCCCCTCGGTGGTAAGTGCCTTCACTCAATTACGCGCTTACTGTAAGAGGCATATCGATCCCTGAAGCATGGCGGACATCAGAGGAAGCAGTTATGTTCATAAATGTCCAACCTGCGCCCTGGCAACATACATCTAGCAACACAATTAACCAGCCCCTGACAGGTGACGTTCATCTTTCTCCGCTCAGAGTAATGGAAGTGTCACTCTGAGATAATGGTGCTGGGGAAAGCAGGCCCAGCAATACCACAACTGAAATCCGTCATCCTGCGCGCTCGCTGTGAGCCAATTAGAGAGCCGCCGTGTTATCTCTCACCGGGTGATGCTCCCGGCCGCTGCTGCTTGCATTTTCATTTAATCATCTCATATTTGCATGTGGGTCTGACTCAGTTGCCCCAAATCACTCTCTGGATATCTTTTTAATTAGTGCAATTTCATACGTATTTTAATAACTCACTCTCACATAGGCAGCCCAGCCAGTTGCAGCCTGTCCAACCCCATTGCCAAGACCTCAGGTGTGCAGCTTCAGTCTGCCCCGGGCTATGGCAGGCTTTATGGGAACCATTTAGAATGGTCAAGGGCATAAAGGAAATATATGCGGAAAGGGTGATCTTTTATAACCACTATATTCGAGTCAGGATTCAGTCTGACACTGAAATACACTTACTCAATGTAATTTATAGATAGGATGTAGTTACTGAGTCTGAAAAATATCAGATCAATAACCTAAAAGACAAATGGTGATATAACCAACTTCACTCAAACTACTGACAGAAAGATAGAATGGTGACAATGTAAGGTCCTTTCTGCATTGTGGTGGGGGATAAAAGGACATAAAAAGAAGTACCGATAGTACTTTGCTTCCACCATTACCTCTCCTTTACTTTCATGACATCTCCCTCTGTAAAGATATAAAAAAATCCCTTAGAAGCTCTCAGTTTTTGGTTTGGGCCAGACAGACGTGTCTGTCATGCTAAACTTGGAAAAAATTCATCTACTATACATGGAACCACATCGTGCTACCTAAGATATTTCATTTGATAAAGGCACTCTAAAAAGATTTGAGTTGATAGCTAGATATGCTAATATTTCTCTCATTAGAGATTCTTTTAAGATACCTTAATATGCCAATTAAGTATTTTTAGATGGCAACCTAAAGCAGGGATGCACACAGAATTAAATATCATGTAAGGTCAATCATTTTTCATTTATGAGTTAATTTTAAATAACTGGCAAGTGGAAGGAGAGAGTAATTATTCAATTTCGTGTTTCTTTTAAAAAATAAGTTGTTTAGCTGCCTTTATGTGGAGCAATATTAAGGAGTCTTTACTTATAATTGTTTTGATATGGTTGGCAAATTGGAAATGTCTGGGTTCTATTTTGTATGCCTGGTTTTACAAATAACTGTGGCACTGATCTGATGTGGAATAGCAGATGATGAACCTAAGGTTCAGTCCAAGGCTTTTGCTCTGTGTTCTGACCTGACTCTCTGGCCTTGCAACCAGCAGCAGGATTCTCCTGCACTCATCGCTAGACAGCTGGGCCACTGCCGCCTCGCGATCCTGGACGTCTTCCCCATTTATCTAGAAAACAAATGAAAGTGGCGCATTAGTTTCCATTTCCACAATGCTGCACACAATAAATGGCAAATATCAGCTCATTTATGGTAAATGTATGGACAATGAAGCTCACACAATGGGCTCGTCTTCAGCCCCTCGGTGGTAAGTGCCTTCACTCAATTACGCGCTTACTGTAAGAGGCATATCGATCCCTGAAGCATGGCGGACATCAGAGGAAGCAGTTATGTTCATAAATGTCCAACCTGCGCCCTGGCAACATACATCTAGCAACACAATTAACCAGCCCCTGACAGGTGACGTTCATCTTTCTCCGCTCAGAGTAATGGAAGTGTCACTCTGAGATAATGGTGCTGGGGAAAGCAGGCCCAGCAATACCACAACTGAAATCCGTCATCCTGCGCGCTCGCTGTGAGCCAATTAGAGAGCCGCCGTGTTATCTCTCACCGGGTGATGCTCCCGGCCGCTGCTGCTTGCATTTTCATTTAATCATCTCATATTTGCATGTGGGTCTGACTCAGTTGCCCCAAATCACTCTCTGGATATCTTTCGATGCTTAACGAATCAAACGAGGACAAGCTCATCGGTAACATCCTCGTCTACTCCAGCTTTTTTCTCAGACTTCTCTGCTTCGCTAAAGCAACAAAACTAATGAAATAAGGTTCAGCTCTTAAGTATACTTAAATTAAAAAATAAATGTTTTGTTTAATAGGAATGCTTATGAAAGAAGCCAAGCTTGAGTAAATTTTTTATTAAAACAATAGATTCTAGTAGTGTTTGAAATGTACCATTTTTTTCCTAAGTGTTACAGAGAAAATAAGGTTCTTAAAATTTGCATTTGCATTTTAAACTACATTTTCATGTTCAAAGGTATTTAGCTCTTATTGATGTATTTTTTCTTTGCCCTTTATAAATTTATTTTACTTTATAATCATTCCATTCCATAGAGACAATGAGATTTTTGACCCATAACGCATAATCAAAGAAAGTCGAAAGAAATTTCAATTGAAGAGGTCAAGTAATTCTATCTAAAATAAGTATTAATTATGTCAATAAATTAAACAAAATGTGGCTGCACTGACCACTATTTTCAATAATTAATTTAACATCTTTCGTTGAGAATTTCTTCTTAAAAGCATGAAGTGGACTCCTGAGGTTTTCTCCTTGTGGGTCTCTGGGATTCTGGCTGACTCATGAAGACAAACATAATTATTTGAAGACAAGCTCAGGAATCTCATCTGTGCACCACAATCAATGATCCTTATAGACTCATATTTAGTATGAAGGAAGCAGACAATAATAGTCAAAGAAGGGAAAAATCATACAACCACATGCTGTATTTTCTTAATGTAATAAAATGAACAGCTCCTCAGTTTTTCACTTGTGTGTGTGGACAGGAAATTCAGCTTTTATAATTTTCAAATCTATTTTCTTTTCTTTTCTGTTTGCAATTTCCAAATAAAATTTATCAAATTAGAAAAAACAAAAACAAAACTTTGATTCCAAACTGGGGACTAATGACCCAGAAGGATATGTTTTAGTTTTCTTTTTTCTTGTAAATATATATCTGAAAAGCTATTTCTGTACTGGGTCCAAGGCCTTTTTTCCTTTAAATAAACATAAATTGGCAGTGGAGGATTACTCCCCCCACCTGTGTGTAGTTTAAAACTAACAATATGAAAAGTTTTACTTTCTTTGAGTTTTGAGGACTTGCACCCCTTTCATAGTAATTCTTATAGTGTATCTGTGATGCATCTATGTGTCTATCTTTCTTTTGCATCTAGTCTTCTTCTTCCCTCCTTTGTAGGCGCATTGATCCTCAGGAGAATGAGTTGGATGATCTCATACAATTTAACTTAAACTTTCATGAAAAATTTGAAATGCAGTTCTCACTTTTTCTCACTTCCAAATTCTTCATGTAAATTTTACTTACCATTAATCTAAATACTCTTCATTCATGTTAATGTTGCTATTATGTTTTTCTCTATTAAAATGCAGATAATAGTGTCTCTTTCAGAGGGCTGTTACAGGATTAAATGGGTTAATATATGTAAAAGGTTTAAATATGTGACGTATACAGAAAGTGCACAAGGTTAGTATATATTACTATTAATGCTATTGTTGCTATTATTATTACTATGATTATTTATATTTTAATCCCTCAGAAAGATTCTTTTCTTCTAAACAAAGCAAATATATTAAAATTCATGCATAACAATGAAATCCACAATAGTGAACATGGTTCTAGCTTAAGGGATATCTATCTCATATGTATTTTTAATTCTTAGAAGGTCATCAAGAAACACTATGGCTGAGTTTGATTTCCTTTATAGTTGGTATTCTTCTATCTCCTCTGTGAACTCATAATGACCAGAGCTCTGATCTTCAGTCTGGGCATTATGTACTTATTTTGGGAGGACAGATCATATGTTGTAGAAACAGTTTATATGCAGAATCATAGGTGGAGTGAAATAAGCTTGCCACGGAAAACCGGCATTAACATGCAATTTTTATTTCTTTTTTAAAATAAAGGTCACCTCAGCCACCTGGTTAGTAGATTCCATTGTACTTGGAACATTAGTTTGATACTCAGATTGATATTGAGACAAAAAATGCAGCCATAGGTTTCATCAAAGATTCTTTTCATGGAATGAAAAGACTTGAGGAATGGAAACAGAGCTTTCCACCTTCATTTGCTTTGTTTCCTGAATGATGGCTCATAGCTGAAAGATTGCTTGTGGGAAAACAGCTTCCTATGCCTGGAAACAGCACACAGAAAGGGTGAAGGAGCTGGAAATGAAGGAAGGACATAGATGAGGAGTAGAGTCATCACTATTTACTGAAAGACTTCCATTTCAAGACAATAGAGGGGAAAAGAGAGAGAGGAAGAAGACAATATGTGACTTTGTTATAAATTTTAAAAAAGCCTGCTGGATAATACATCTGTCTCATTTTCTGTGCATGGGCATATGTAAACATTAGTTTCAAAATGGATATTATCTTGGCTTAGAAGAGATTTGTGGCAATTACAAAGAGAAATCAGTCAAAATCCCACTTTAGGCCTCATCTCCTGTACATGCCTATGAGTGTGTGTGTGTGTGTGTATGTGTGGCCTCTCAGGTTGCACTAGTGGTAAAGAACCTCCTTACCAGTGCAAGAAACATAAAAGATGAGTGTTCAATCCCTGGGTCAGGAAGATCCCCTGGCGGAGGATGTGGCAATCCACTCCAGTATTCTTGCCTGGAGAACCCCATGGACAAAGGAGCCTAACAGGCTATAGTCTACAGGGCAGCAAAGAGTCAGACATGACTGAAGTGACTTAGTATGTGCATATGTGTAAAAACTTAGAAGTCTAGAAGTGTCTCAATATAGCTTCTTTTTTGTTTAAATATGACAATTTTTAGGTTTTTCATGTCAGTGTACCATGGGCAGGTAGGCAACTAAAGCTCTTGGCATTCAACCAACTATAGGTGGTAGAATTTCTTATTTGAAAACCCAAAAATCTTAGGCAAAAGAGGAAAGATTTATGTCAACTCTATTGATATTTTACTGTGAAAAAGAAGGCAAAGGAAGCATAGAGATACAGATGTGAAACAAATATAAGGAAAATAGTTATTCCAAAAATTTTAGGCAAAAGAGGAAAGATTTATGTCAACTCTATTGATATTTTACTGTGAAAAAGAAGGCAAAGGAAGCATAGAGATACAGATGTGAAACAAATATAAGGAAAATAGTTATTAAAAAAAAAGCAAGTAAGAGTAGGAAGAAATGCTAAGGACCAGTTTAGGGCAGAGAAAGAAAGAACTGATTAGAGGTTCTAATTAAAAGAACTAATCAGGTTCCACTGTTTTGAGCTTTTGCAGGGTGTTGTCAGGGAATAATCCTTAGAAACATGACTGGCTTTTCTGGCCAAGATTAGAATAATACATACTTACATGGAATTCTATATGCTTACTATGCCAAAAAGAATGCGAGAATAGAGCACACTTTCCTTTAGATAGCCAATCATGTATGTGTCTTCAGTTTTTCTCTGTGGCTCAGCATTACAATTTTGTTAAAGGACTTCCCCAGATTAATTCCTGGGAACACATCTAATACAACCAGTCTGTAGCAATAGCACAGCAAATAGACTGTCAAGCACTTGAAAAAAAAAAAACACACAAGAGAGCTAGAATGTGTCCTCATGAGGCTGGGTCATAGTTTCTCTTCTGGGTGATCCCTACCTTCTTTCAAGATTGTGTGAATACACGTGTGTGTGTGATGCCACTGAGGAAGGTCCTCTAACACGTCCACAGAGCACTACAGTTAGAAAATGAGGGCAGAGCCAGAGAAGTACTTTACTTAGGTCATTGTGAACAGGAAATTAAAATCACAATTGCTTTAACAAGACTCATTCAAATCAAAGCCAGCCAGGAAAGCTAAAGGATGAGAAGATATCCTCTCTTTCTCCTCCTCTCATCTCCCTGGGAAAGGAGTCATTAATTGTTCATTACAATGTATCCCATAATCTCCTTACCAGCCACACAGGAGCTATTTGTCTATGAGTACAATTTTGTCACGGTTTTCTTTAATATAATTTTACTATCACTCTTAAGACTCTTTGTTTCCTGTGTGTGCAGATAGAATTGAATTCCAGGCTTTTTAATGTGACAGGTATTTATTCATTAGATGTGACATATTTGTCACTGAATATAAACTAATCAGGCAAACCACAGCACTTTATCAATCCTGCTGCTGTTTCAGTGAACCAGCTTCATTATGGAATGCCTTATTATCCAGAAAATTTTTTATCTGATAATTTTAACTGCCCACAACATAGCCAAAAATAAGGAACTGTCAGAACATATGGTATGCAACTATGGAAATGCATGTACTCTACATATATTGGACTCTACCTGCAGAACTAACAGATGCCACTTTACTAATTGTATTTGTGTATTGTGTATCTAACTGTATTTTACTAACTGTATTTGGGATGTGGTGAGCTAGAAACTAGGAAGGGAGTCTGTGAGGCTACAATATTGAATACGGGGTGTGGTGAGTAGAAGGTGAGAGGAAAGAGTGACAGCTGGTAACAGCATGAGGAAAATGACAAAACAGGGACCCAGCACAACAGAAAAAGCAGCCAACTAGGGTCATTTAATATCAGGGCACACAATCTTCCAGACCTTTCAGTCACCGAGCATTTTACTCCATTATAGCATTGGGTGGTGACTGCTGGGTATGATGTGACCCTCAGCATCAAAGGAAGGTTACTTTCTTTTCAGTTTACTTAATTGAAGATATTAACAAGGTAAACAACACATTTAAAATGATTCATAAGTCATATACTAATGAAATATTTTTTGAAGCTTTGTTATCTGGATGATACACTAAAATAATGTGTTTTTTATTTATGAGGATACATAATTAAAACTTTACTCCTCCATCTATCCTGTCACTCTCTCTACTGAATATCTGTGTTTCATCCCCTGATTTATTTATATGTGTGAAAGAGATATTGAAAATAGAGTAGCAGACAAGGCTAAATCTTAACTTCTTGATTAACTTCTGCCCCTGAATTATCCAGTGACAGACGTATCCCATTTTGTTTAACCAGAAAGGAGATCACTAGAGTTGAAATTATATATTCTTGAAGTTTCCTGAGAACTAGTGGGACAATGAATAATCTCCAGTTCTTTCCTAATTGGAGCTTTAGTAGAGAGTCCCTGATGAAGAAGGAGCTCCGTGGCCTCTCACTTGAGAAGGGAAGGGTTTTGGGGAGTTGTTTTGGTTTGTTGGTGTTCCCCTAAAGAAAGGAAAGGAAACAGCAGAAGGCTGAGTAGGACAGCCCTCTGGTGTGGCAAAGCTTTCTCACAACAATGTCACATTGTACTGTCATCATCTGTGTATGCAGCTGTCTTCCTAATTACCCAGAGAGTGCCCCAAACGGTGCTGTGACAGCTTATTTAGTTTAAAGCCCTGGTTCCAGATAGAGTGTTGAATCCAAATGCATTGAATCAAAAGAAATATTTTTCAGGGGTTCATATCTAAGCAGGAGAAATGGGAATGATAGCGATAACAACTAAAAGTTTTGCAGAATATATCAACAGGTTGTAACTTCTTCAATGTGTCATTTGAGTTCTCCTTCCTGTTTTACAGGTGTGATCGGCTTCCCTCGTTGCTCAGATGATGAAGAATCTACCTGCAATGCAGGAGACCAGGGTTCTATCCCTGGGTCAGGAAGATCTCCTGGAGAAAGAAATGGTTACCTACTCCAGTCTCTAGAGGAGGAAATGGCAACTCATTCCAGTATTCTTGCCTGAAAAATTCCATGGACAGAGGAGCCTGACAGGCTGCAGTCCACAGGGTCACAAAGAGTCGGACACAACTGAGTAACCAAACTGAACAGAAACCCACTGCAGTATGCTTGCCTGGAGAATTCTATGGACAGAGGAGCCTGGTGGGCTACTGTCCATGGGGTTGCAGTATTGAATATGAAGGAGTGACTAACACTTTCATTTTTTTTTCTTTTTTCTGCAGCGAAATTCAAAGGCCTCCGTTGTTATTTTTTTGGGTTAAATTGGATACAAGAGCTGGGGTGCTGTGTCTTCCTGCAGCCTCTCTTTATGGGAAAGGACTCAGAAGTGACACAGTGGGCCAAGGAAGATTTATGATAGAAACTTTGCCTTTCAAGGTTTTTCCTGATTTGGCTTGGAACTCTTTCCAGTCTACACACCTCCCATAAGGTGGTACCATCTCTGTTGTTAAATGGAAATTTAGTCCATCTCTATGTTTTCAGGTATCCATCCTCCACCTGTCCTCAGCAGCTCATTGTAAATAATTAAGACTTCATATTTATAAACTTTCATCATAATGGAATACTGGAATCACTGTTTACCTAATTTATTGTGGAAAAGGCAGCAATAAATGCTGTTGATGCCAGTAACAACAGCAGTTCATGCTTATTACACACCATACACTTATTTCTGGACATGCACTTATTACTCACTAGGTACATCACATGCTTAATCACATCTAACCTTTGCCACAATATATTTTACTGTTATCATTCTTTAATAGGAGGAAACAGTCTTATAATGAGAAGTTAAGTAAAGCGTCCAAGTAAGTGATGGAGCTGGAAGCTGAAGTTGAGGTATCTGAGTCCAGAGATTATGTCTTATTAATTATTAGCTAATAATCCTTAATAAATGGCACTATCAATTTTTTTTTAAAAAAGGTTTGAATGATAGCTTTTAGTTTTGTAGATGTTACTAACCAGAAACAAAGGGAAATTATTTTCTCTAACATTTTTCAAGGTGTGAAATAAAATGAAAGCTGTTGGACAGATAGAAGGAAACTAGAGAAAATAACTGCACCACGTACTTGCAAAATACGATCCCCTTCTCGAATTCGGCCATCTTTGGCAGCAATGCTGTTTGGATCTACCTGTAAGGGCGAGGACACAGTGTCAGCTGTATATGCAATATCGTCCCCAGAAACTTAAAATTTTTTAAAAATATGGTTCATGTTTTTCTATTGAGTGATAGAGGGCATGCCAGATTTTTCTCTGTCAACTGATTCTAAAAATGTTAATGAGCTATTTTAGAATTAATCATAATAAAATTAAGGAGAACAAAGTCCAATTTGATCTGTAGACCACTTTTCTCTCCCTCCTTCTCTTTCTTTCTTTCTTCCTTTTATCCTTTCTCCCTTTTTTATTTTATTTTATTTTTTTACATCTGTTCACTCATTTCTGTATCCCAGCTGTCAGATGTTGTTTTCAGCTGACATGATCCTCAGATGATGTTAATACCAGAATTCTCTGGACCCAGGAAATGTACTTTCTGCTAGGGTGATTTTTAAATCCTGCCTTAGCTGTCTGAGAAAACCTGATAGCTATATTCTTAAGTCCATACTTATTAAAGGGATTTCTGTGTTATGATCACATTAATTTATAAAGGGATTTATAATCTATGTAGCTCAAAAAGTGAAAAAAAAAATCCTACCCATGCAGATTATTACTAGACACTACTTTACATGTAGGGTGAAGTATATTAACTATCACTTATTTTAGAATAAATAGATATTTAAAGCTCTTTTAAGAGCTTATCAACACTTTAATTGGCCAAACTTGAGTGATGACTTACTGTTCACTTTAGGTAATTTCATCTAGCACACATTTCACATGATGGCTTCCAACCATTTATTGGAGCTTATTCCAGGAAAGCCTGTTTTTTTATTTTTTTTCCTTTAAGCAAAGTATTTCAAGTGTAGCATAAGGTTGCTCCATCCTACCCAGATGTTAGATATTACTTTCTAATTAGGTAGTGCCACCCAATAAATGAGTTTTAAGTGATCAGTCAAGAACAAAAGACGCTACAATTACATGTTTGATGTATAGGGAAACATTTTTTCCAAGTACATGTGTTCAGTTCCTGTGGCTTTTCTTACTATTCCCGAAACAAAAAGTTCCAAAGCTGACATGTTTAAATAGTAAACAGAGACTTACCTGAAGGAAATGATGGATAATTAATTAATTGTATCCTGTTTAGAAGCCATTCACAATCTAAAACTTTGTCTTTAGAACTATAATCAAACTAATATTAAAATTCTGCATTTGTACTTCCATACATACTACAAAAGATAATTCTGCACATGTTGCCTTATACTTCCTTACCATAATCAGAGGGGTTTTCATAGTTGTTTATTTAAAAGAGGTATATATGCAAGTCAAATATTCTCTGGAGATTTTTTTCATGGTAAGAACCAGTCAATAGATTTTTTGATAAAGTGATAAAGATTAACATTTATATTTATAGATCTGTCAGATGTTGTTTTCAGCTGACATGATCCTCAGATGATGTTAATACCAGAATTCTCTGGACCCAGGAAATGTACTTTCTGCTAGGGTGATTTTTAAATCCTGCCTTAGCTGTCTGAGAAAACCTGATAGCTATATTCTTAAGTCCATACTTATTAAAGGGATTTCTGTGTTATGATCACATTAATTTATAAAGGGATTTATAATCTATGTAGCTCAAAAAGTGAAAAAAAAAATCCTACCCATGCAGATTATTACTAGACACTACTTTACATGTAGGGTGAAGTATATTAACTATCACTTATTTTAGAATAAATAGATATTTAAAGCTCTTTTAAGAGCTTATCAACACTTTAATTGGCCAAACTTGAGTGATGACTTACTGTTCACTTTAGGTAATTTCATCTAGCACACATTTCACATGATGGCTTCCAACCATTTATTGGAGCTTATTCCAGGAAAGCCTGTTTTTTTATTTTTTTTCCTTTAAGCAAAGTATTTCAAGTGTAGCATAAGGTTGCTCCATCCTACCCAGATGTTAGATATTACTTTCTAATTAGGTAGTGCCACCCAATAAATGAGTTTTAAGTGATCAGTCAAGAACAAAAGACGCTACAATTACATGTTTGATGTATAGGGAAACATTTTTTCCAAGTACATGTGTTCAGTTCCTGTGGCTTTTCTTACTATTCCCGAAACAAAAAGTTCCAAAGCTGACATGTTTAAATAGTAAACAGAGACTTACCTGAAGGAAATGATGGATAATTAATTAATTGTATCCTGTTTAGAAGCCATTCACAATCTAAAACTTTGTCTTTAGAACTATAATCAAACTAATATTAAAATTCTGCATTTGTACTTCCATACATACTACAAAAGATAATTCTGCACATGTTGCCTTATACTTCCTTACCATAATCAGAGGGGTTTTCATAGTTGTTTATTTAAAAGAGGTATAATATGCAAGTCAAATATTCTCTGGAGATTTTTTTCATGGTAAGAACCAGTCAATAGATTTTTTGATAAAGTGATAAAGATTAACATTTATATTTATAGAGTTTCATAATTTTCTAAGTGCATTATCTTTTCCTAGTCTAAAAACCTCTATAAAAGCAATACTAAAAGCAATGTTGTGTGCTCGCTTTGGCAGCACATATACTAAAAGCAATGTTGTACTGAATTTCTAGTTAAAGAAGCTGAAGCTTAGTAAGTTATGTAATGTTTTCAAGGTCATGGCCAAGAAAATTTGAAATAGCACAGGAGAGCAATTAGTATTTAGTTTGTCTAACCTCTGGGTTCATGCACATACATATAACATGCATGATTTCACATACATATGTGTGTATACATATATATATGCAGGAATTATATAACATATATACATATATACACATATGTGTTCACATGTACATATGTAATTTTAAATCATATGTACATACCTTACTACTTCTCATAAAATGATTCTTTTGGGAGTTTCAAAAATCATCTATAATAATAAACTTTGCTTCACTTTTTTTCAAAATAATTAACACTGAAAGTATTTTACATTTAAGTCCCTCACTTTTTAAATTGAGGTATAGTGCATTTTATTCTTTTTCATATTCTTTTCCATTGTAATTTATTATAGGATATTGAATATTGTTCCCTGAGTCAATACCTCACTTTTTGAAAGTGATTATGTGGTTGAATAAAAGAAACTAATGGATGCACTTCTTGGATATGATATGCAAATTTATCTATCTTCAGCAGAGTAAAATATTAGAGTTTTAGTAAATATTTAGATTTTNGCAAATTTATCTATCTTCAGCAGAGTAAAATATTAGAGTTTTAGTAAATATTTAGATTTTAGATTTAAAGTATTAGATGTGAATATTAGATTTAAAACAATTAGTTAATGCGATTGCTAACAAGTCAGATAAAAGGCACAGCAGGAATGGAAGGACAAATGTTTGCTGATCAAAAACTTTGCCTGACTTCCTGCATGCTTATGGGACTTTATTCAAATTTAGACAATGTTACCATTTTTGCACTCTTTCTTACTGGGACTCTGTGGTGAAAGCATCCACATTGAATAAGCTGATAATAATTACATTACTTGGGCAACATAATTTACTTCTTTAATTGAGAATGACAAGTATTGGAACATGGCCAGTTCTTCACATTCAAGCCTCCCAAGGATTTTCCCATCGTGAGTCATTTCACTCCATTGCTCGCTGTCTGCCTCCCCTAATCTCTCTTCCATGGCGTTTCTTACCTCGCTGACATAAATGCCGGTGTCTTCTTCATCATCCGTTCGGTAACAGACTGTCAGGCCCAGCTTCTCTTGACTGCTAACACGACACAACTCGACCTCCTGGGAAAAAAACACAGAGACCGACATTTATCTCAGAGAGAAATCCCACAGCAGGATGCAGAACTCCCTGATATTCTCTGGGTCATCCTGGGATGTTTTCATAACTGTTACCTAACATTTGAATTAACCTAGGTTACCAAAATCCTCAAAATTCACTCCCAACATATATATTTGTATGATTAGGTCAACATTTTAAAATTTCATTATAAAGGTGGAGATGTGCCATTTTTGCATTAAATCATAAAATTTTAAAAACTCACAAATGATGTTCAAATAAAATATGTATAAATCAATAATGTGGAATTAAGAAAATACTTGAGAATGTCAGTACAGGTAGCAAAATGTTTATAAAACTATTGAGAGTTCCTGTGTTTTTATTTTAATAAAACAAAATAAAATTAAAATAAAAAAGATGAACTGGACGCTGCATCAATTCTTCTTTTGAGTTCTATATATGATGATAATCAGAGTTCTGTGTAGCTAGGCCAAGGTTTTCTATTATCTTGTAGCAACTCTCAGCCTTGGAAAGAAATGGGTTCATCCAGGCTGCAGCAAGAGACATCAACAGTCATATGGGCAGAGGCCATGATTCAAAATGCAGCAGTAAATGAACAAGGAATCACATTTACTGAAACACATGGCTACGGGGCTTGAAATGTCAGTCCTTAGGTAATGTATATTGAATCTATTTCCTGATTTATGTTCAGTAAAATAATAATAAATTTCAGTGTATTTCATTTTTATATAATGAAATAGACTTGTACTGCCCTTAGAAGCAGATGACTTTAGAATAAATTGCATAATTCCAAACAGTAAAACACCAATTGGTGCTCTTATCATGGAGAACGTGTTCCTATTGGATGGAGCATATAAGGCCCTTTAGTAAAGGGCCTTTCAGATGAGAAAGAGCTAATCAGATGAGGAAGATCAGAATAGATTTAAACTGGAAATGACCAAATGACCAAATCTAGACCAAGTTTCTAAAACTCAGGTTTTGCGGGAGTTATGAATTTGTCTGTCTTGCTTAACACTCTTTTTTCTCTAAGGCCTAGAACAGGTACAGCTTCAGTGTGGGAACTCAGTCCATGCTAGTTGACAGATAATGGCTTTTATTTCAAAACATGTCTGAGTGTTTGTTGTTTTTTGTAAACCAATAATCAATATTTCCTCTTTAGTGGGAGATAGATTTTGTGTGTACACATTGAGTGTGTGTATGTGCGTAAGTGAATGAAGGGAATAAAGTTTAATATAGTATCCATCATCTCAAGTAGTTACCAGGACTAAATAAAGAGATACTCACTCAATTTCAAACTAGAGGATATTTCCAGTACACTCTGCTACATTTGAAGAAGTTTCTTCCATTTTAACTTTGTATTTCAGCAAAGGACTTGTCATTGGAAAATAACCATTTATTTTAAAGACATACTACAAGCCATATGTTTATACTTGCCATAGGTAAATCCTTAACAAGGACAGACTGTCATAAGCTCCAGTGACCAACAATTTCACAGCTAACAGCAAATTAAAGAAAATTGAAATCTTGCATCTTGAGACATGTACTGCAAATTGGTAAAGTACATGAAACCATGACCAATGCTGACTTTCCAGCTGGTGGACAAAGATACTCTAAATTACACTACAGGGCTTAAAAAGGGCATGGCATACGCTGAACAACAACAACAAAAAAACTCTTTTCACCTAGAGGAAAAATAGGAAACAGTGACATGTTTTATCACCAGAAGCAAAAAGTATACACTCTTGAAGGGCATTTTCAAAACTGGCAACAATTAATGCCTCCAGAGGGAAAGAATACCTGACTAGAACTGTAACATTATGAAGGAATTACAGCAACAAAAGAGCTCCAATTACAGCAATGAAGTATATGCAGTTAAGGAGTAAAGAAGTTTGTGATTCCTAAGAGGCCTACAAGGAAATCCAAACATCCCATTGTTCTGCCCGTAGTCCGAGTCCCCGGTCGGGAAAGAAGACTCCTCGAAACAATGCAACTTGCAATAGGGGAATTTATTACTGACTCGAGCCAGGGCTTCCCGCCCTCACCAAGGGTGTGAGGACGAAAGGCCCCGAGCCCCAGTTCTCTCGGGTATTTATTAGGTCAAAAAGAAGCAGCAGGTAGTTGGCGCAAGCGGATTGGTTACACAGCGGGTAGTTGGCGCAAGCGGATTGGTTACACAGTTGCAAGGCAATTTTTGTTGGCCCAACGTGGGGCTTTCAGCTTTCCCCTGATAAGTTCCCTTTTTCCTTGCTAGGCATATGTTGATTGGCTAGCTCCAGGAGGCCTGATAATTATGTTACCCCGGGAAACCAGGCCTACTCCTAATCTAGGCTGCCTGTCATGGCGTTAGCCGTGACAGCCTCACACTCCGGAAAGATGTTATGGGATGAGAGTGGGAACTTAAAGCAAACGAGGAGCTGAAATCCATTGACTTTCGATGTCCTTCCAAGAGCACGAGAGAAGCACTCCACGCTGCGGGAAGTCATCTGCAGAGGGAAGCCTTCCTTTCTTGAGTGTTTACTCTGCACTCTCAGTGGTGTACATTGCTTTGTAAAATCAATCGTTTTGATTGATTGGTGTAAATCGTTTTGGTGTTTGTTTAAAAGATGCATATCTAAATACCCTGTAATAAATGAAACCAATCTATTAAAACGAAAAGGGCAGAATCATCAATAAAATATCAATATTGCAAACTGTTTAACGAGAATCACAAGGAAACAGAGATCTGGGAAACTGAGGTCATATTGAACCTAAGCAAAATTGTGAAGCCGGTCTCAAAGCTACCCACAGCACCTTTGTTTTCAATAGCATCTCCTCCCCTGCCCTTTTAAGATACTGGACACCCTGCATCTATTTCTTTAGCTTCCTGGAGTTCCTAAGGTCTGCCTACCTAGCCATTGGTGTTCAGGTTTGTCATCCTAATTACCTCCTAGCAAAACCTGGCCCTTGGTATCATCTTCCATTATCTCACAAGTAGCTCTTGAGAGATAAAGAAAATTGATAATAAATATTTCCTAAGGGGATAATTATTTATACTTTTTTAAAATGTTGTCCCATCCAGTGTTTGGTTCACACCAATAAAAACTGAGCATACAATTCTTATTACAAGCCTTAATTCAAAGGACTGAACTTATGGAAGTAAGATTCCAGGCTCTGAAGAAGACTCAAGTGAGATTTCCTGCAGCCTACAAACTACCTAACACCAGCTTCAAGAGTAGACTTGCAATTCTTTCTTTGGTTGAGAATGTTTTGGGTATTACATATTTCATATTGGTATACAGAAGCATACACTTTAGAATCAAAGTTTCTTTAATTCTATGACCAAATAATTTATAAGCAGCTACCTGTAGACCATTTTGTTTGTATGAGGCAAAGGTGGCTTTGTAAAGGCTGCTTATCTGAAAGGAATCCTCTAGCCCAGGTTTCATTTAGTATTCTTTTCACAGTGTGCACAAGCCTCTGCCTTCTGAAAAAACAACCTCCTGGTAATAGAGCATGTTTTCCCTAACAACTTTCATACCTTTCCCTCTGTCACAAGGAAGCTGTTTGATGAAAAACATAAAAGTGAAATGCTCTCTCTGTACATTTTCTCTGCAAAGACAGTTCTTGGGCATCTACAAATCAAAGCCAAGCCCTCCTGGATGGCGCTGCTAACCATCCATAAGGCATTTGTGACTAGAGTGGAAGAATCTCTTCATACACCTGGTGAAACCACATTAATTTTGGCTTAAATGTGCTTAAAGATCTTAGGTTCCGGGAATATGTATAATCCCTTAAGAAATCATGCCATAATATCTAATCCTATGAGAAATTGATCATGGATGTTGAGGGTGGAGTAAGAGATTAAAGTTAGTAGAGTTTACTGTGAAACATCCTTCGAATCGTAGAAAGAATGGGATTTTTCTATAAATCGGTTGCACTACAGTGCTGTGAAAATTTTATATTTTTATGATTTGGTCTCAGGTGGAACAAGGAAGTTAAAAAATATAAACACGCTTTTGCTTTTCAGGTGGAATTCTCTTATTGGACGATCTGAGGCTTCAGGCTGCCTGCAATGTCCGTTTATTGGAGTGTAATTGCTTTACAATGTTGTGTTAGCTTCTGATGGATAACAATGTGGATTTAAGCAAATTATTTCTACACTCCAAGGAGCCTGAGGCCCATGGCATGAGTGAGAAAATTCAGAGGCAATCCGTACTACAGGGCTTCCTCTGAGGCTAAGCAGTAAAGAATCCACCTACAATGCTGGAGCTGCATGAGACATGGGTTCAATCCCTGCATCAGGAAGATCACCTGGAGCAGGGCACAGCTACCCTCTCTAGTCTTCTTGCCTGGAGAACCCCATGGACAGAGGAGTCTGGCAGGCTGCAGCGCATAGGCTCACAGAGTCGGACATGACTGAAGCGACTTAGCACAGCACGGCAATCAGTACTACACAAGCCAGAATGAAAACCAGGGCAAGACAGGATGGTCACCGATACCAACTGACAATCCAGAGATGGGGTCTAGTGTGCCCATATTTGTATTTTAATTTTATTTCCTTTTTATTTATGACAACATGTGCTGTGTTGTGCTTAGTCGCTCAGTCATGTCCTACTTTTTCCGACCCCATGGACTGTAGCCCGCAAGGCTCCTCTGTCCCTGGGGAGCATTCTTCAGGCAAGAATACTCGAGTGGGTTGCCATGCCCTCCTCCAGGTGATCTTCCCAACCCAGGGATAGAACCCAGGTCTCCCGCAATGCAGGCAGATTCTTTACCATCTGAACCACCAGGGAAGCCCAAGAATACTGGAGTGGGTAACCTATCCCTTCTTCAGGGGAACATCCTGACCCATGAATTGAACCAGGGCCTCCTGCATTGCCTGCAGATTTTTTACCAGCTGAGTCACTCGGGAAGCCCCATAAGACAACATATCCACTATTTTATCAGCTTAGCTTTAATCATATATAGCTATCTTAAATTTTGCAATGTTGATTACTAACTAGTG